TTGGGAATATACCCAACTTTTCAGACAAACCCAAATCTGCTTACTATTTGGAGGAAGCCAATCCTTTTTCCAAAGGAAAGCCATGGACAAGCGCTACTTTTAGCTTCTGAAACTGCGCCTATGCCTATCTTCTGGGGGCTTTTCCAGCCACGGAGCTGATTACCGAAGGGTAATGGGCAACATGATTAATAACCCAAGAAAAAAAACAAAAAAATAAACTTGTGGGGAAAAAAACATGATGAACTAGTGGAATCAATGATTTCAATATATTTCAATCACCTCTATGTCTTTCATGAGCTTCCTGTACTCATACGGAAGAAGATTTCACACACATCTGATTACTTGTGACCAACAGGAACTTTCCAGGTGTCACACACATCTGATTCTCACCAGATCGTTGGGATTTTTCATAGGGATCTTCGTTGGCTAAATGGATTTGTCTAGCTATTTTTGTCTGATTTTTTTGTCCAGATTCTACTTTTATACACTCGGTTGATTCGAAACCCACTGTTTTTCTCGATCAATTTCCTAAAATCCTATGAATCTGAATCCAAAACCCAGTTTTTCTTCTACAAACTACCACTTTTGTTGATTACCCTCTGGTAAACATACAAAAAACTACGGAAAATCACCATTTATAGAGAATTTTCAAAAAAAATGGTGATTTTCCATCGTTTTTTGATGTTTTTTGTATGTTTACCAGAGGCTAACCTCCAGTTTTTCTTGATCCCTACGCCTGCCTTTCTCCCTCCGTCCTCAACAAGTCCCGGCTGACAGGTCGTAACACCTAGAGCCATGCCATCCTGACACGGGCCGCGACATCAACCCATCGACCCATGGTGGTTGTCGACCCATGGTGGGGTCGCTAATATTTAGCCCAAGTTGGTTGATAAATATGATATAGTATGGTAGATATGTTAGCCAAGTTGGTTAGATATTAGTGTATTAGTTGGTTTATACTGCATATCATATATGATTTTATACTGGTTGGTGGTTTCAACACCTCTGAAAAATATTAGTCAGTTGGGATGATTCTTCCCAACTGAATGGAAAAATAAAAATGTTCCAAACCACCAATCAGTATATGCATGTTAACTATAGTTTATGGATGTGCATGGTACAATATAACCGTATGATGCCAGGATGGGGATTAACATCCACCGTCTTGAAGGATGGCCAACCTGGGGTGAGATGGCCTACCAACTAAACAACTAAAATCACTGGCCATCTCAGGAACCGATTGATTGGAGGTACCTACCATATAAGAGGCCTTTCAGGGAATATCCCCAGAAAATATGGCCTGAAAAATGGTACTTTATCTCCATTTCTGGTTGGTGGTCGAACAACCCCTCTGAAAAATATGCTCGTCAGTTGGGATTATGAAATTCCCAATATATAGAAAGTCATGAAATTCATGTTCCAAACCACCAACCAGATAATATTGATGGTTAGATAGAGTCATATATCCCGTTGTTTCCCCCTATATTTTCTATATTTTTTCTATGGTAAGAACTCCACAATGTTTGAAAAAATCCATGGTTCCAGTCACCAGTCACCAGAAATGCATGGTTAACATGTGGGTGTCTACCAACAAGTTGGAGCTCAAGAAGCTGATGGCTGGATTCTGTTCTGGCCAAACGTATATTGCATAAATATCCAATATGTACAACTTAACTATATATTGAAGACATTTAAGAATACTGTACATTTGATTCTGGATCCAATGCTATGTTTCATCAGAATATTTCTAAGTTTTTGACACTTGGCAGATTGCGGATCACTGTCGAAACGTTCTTGCTGCTGCACCGTCTGAGAAAAACAAAACCGATGAATCACGAGAAACACAACAAACTCTTGGGTCATACTGGGAAAATTCATCCTGCACCAGTTGGTAGATGCGCAACGCAATCCCTGAAAATAACATGTTATAACCATGATGGTTCATAGTTACCAATAGGGCCATAGGGCTTTGCCCACTGGTGCGGGATGGCTAGTTACCATCGAATCGAACAGCGCCATGGGCGTCATCTGGGCGGCCCTCATCTACACTACGGTGCCCCAGGAAAAGTTACCCTCTGGTAAACATACAAAAAATTAAAGGACCGGATAACCCCACATGTTACCAACTTCTTTAGACTTAGACTGACCATAGAAGAGCAAGAAGGGAAGAGGAAGTATAAGAGTGATGGAGCGGTGATGGTGGGTGAGTTTGTGTGTATGTATGTGTGTTCATGTACAGTGAGTGAGTGAGAGTGTGAGTGAGTGATGCGAGTGTGGTGTGTGTGAGTGAGGGATGTGAGAGTGAGTGAAGTGAGTGAAGTGAAGTGAAGTGAAGTGAAGTGAAGTGAAGTGAAGTGAAGTGAAGTGAGTGAGTGGGTGAGTGAGTGAGTGCGGTAGGTGAGGTAGGTGAGGTAGGTGGTGAGGTAGGTGGTGAGGTAGGTGAGGTAGGTGAGGTAGGTGGTGAGGTAGGTGAGGTAGGTGAGGTAGGTGAGGTAGGTGAGGTAGGTGAGGTAGGTGAGGTAGGTGGGTGAGTGAGTGAATGTGAGTGAATATGAGTGAATGTGAGTGAGTGTGAGTGAGTGAGTGAGAAGAGGCGGAGACCAAGGGACGCCAGGGCGTACATCCGACCCCTTGGCTGCTCACATTGTCCCACGCCTGCCACGCAAAAGAGGCGGAGACCAAGGGACGCCAGGGCGTACATCCGACCCCTTGGCGGCTCACATTGTCCCACGCCTGCCACGCAAACGA